TGACGGCTTAAACTCTTGTAATCTCTTCCCATTGAACAAACTGAGAATCTTATTGAGAAAAATATACTCATGACAATATCAACCAAGTTTAAGCATGATAGCCTTCAAATAGTCCCACTATACCCTTTGATAGGCTTTCATCATACAAGGTTTCAAAGCACAATGTTGATTTTTTCCTGCCATGTTCTTCTTCTTGAAGTGTAGCATTCATAATCAGAGATTATATGATCAGTTATTAGGCCTTTTTAGAGCTGCTTTGACCATTTTAACTTGGAATTTTGAGCCTTTTTAGGGCTTTGTTGGTCTTTATAGGCTGTTTTGACGGTTTTTACACCTGGTTGGGCCCTTTGGACACGCGACGGCCCACAGATGGGGCATTTGGGCTGGCACATGCCTTTTATAGGTGTGTCAGGCCGTGCCTGCCCATATGTCCAGCTCTAGGCACGGACCACGCCAATGCATGATCGAACCGACCTTTTCTATTCAGAGCCTTTAGCACCCATTAACGTCCACTTTGTAGCCAACCAAACTCAAACCCATAACCTCAGCTTGCCACACCAATGCATAATCAGACCGACATTTTCTATTCAGCGCCTTTAGCGCCCATTAACATGCATTTTGTAGCCAACCAGACTGGAACCCACAACCTCAGCGTACGATGGCAAGCGCACTAACCACTTGGCTATCCATCCTGTTGTGAAATTATTGTTTTATTTCCTTTTATTTCTTTATCTAGTTCATGGGTTTTTTCCTTGAAGTTTTTATTTGGGTTTCTTTTTCTTTTTTTCTTAAATGCATGGATTCTTTTAGAATTTATGAGTTTTTTTCTTCAAAATCCATGATTTTTTCCCAAACCCCATGAAATTTTATTAAAATTCATGAACATTTTTTCAAAGTAGATGAATTTTTTTAAAATTTGTGAATATTTTTTCCAAAATCGATGAACTTTTATTCAAATTCGTGATTTTTTTCAAAATTTAGAAGTTTTTAGGTTTGATGATTTTTTTTGTAAAATTTGAAGATTTTTTTAAAATTGATGAACCTTTTCAAAATCCATGAACTGTTCAGCCTTTTAACTTGCATTCTTAAGAAGGCGAAATAACTAATTAAGAGTACTTGGTACAAAGAACGGATCCGGCTTGCCTGCTCCCTCTCCATGCTCCCATCCGTGCTCCCACCTCATCCTACGACTGTCTTTTTTCCTTTTTTTTCTAATCTAATCATCTCCCCCTGATTTTAAGGGGGTGGGGCCGGGCCTTATTTTGTTCCAATCAAATCAAGCCACGTATGCGGGAGCACGGATGGGCGCACAAGCGGAGAGCAGGCAAGTCTCGTCCACAAAGAACACTCTACTTTCCCAGGCCGCGACAAGTGGCGCACATGCAGCGCACTACTTGTAGCAACCTGAGAGTTTTCTCTTTTTTCGCAGATCCGTTTATTCAAAACGTTTTATCTTTTAAACCGTGCGTCCAAATCTTGAACCGTTTTCACCATTGGATTCCTCGCGTCGAGATCTTCAAAACTAGATCTCATGTTGATAGGTTTTGACGAACTTTTTTTTCACAAAAAAACTGGACGAAAAAACCGAACCGGGAGCATGATTTTTTCCCTTTCCGAAAGAGGCACGCCCGTGCCTCTCGCGAAATCACAACCGTACCTCTCGTGGAAGCAAACCGTGACTCTCGTGGAAGGAAACAAACAGAAAACATGTCTTTTCCGTTTTCGAGAGGCACGACCGTGACTCTCGTGAAAGCACAACCGTGTCTCTCGCGGAAGCAAAACCGTGTCTCTCACGAAAAAAAAGAAAACGCGTAATTTTTACCTTTCTGAGAGGCACAACCGTGACTCTCGTGAAAGCACAACTGTGCCTCTTGCGGAAGCAAAACCGTGACTCTCGCGAAAGAAAAAAAGACAGAAAACGCGTTTTGTTTTTCCCTTTCCGAGAGGCACGACCATGCCTCTCGCGGAAGCACAACCGTGCCTCTCACGGAAGCAAAATCGTGACTCTCATGAAAGAAAAAAAAAACAGAAAACGCGTTTTTTTCGTTTCCGAAAGGCACGGCCGTGACTCTCGCTAAAGCACAACCGTGCCTCTCGCGAAAAAAAATCGTGACTTTCATGAAAGAAAAAAAAAAGAAAACACGTTTTTTTCGCGCTAAAATTTTTTTTGATCGAAAAGCTAAGAAAGAATGGGAGAAAACCAAAATGTCAAAAAACAGAAAAAACCATTTAAAAAGCCGAAAACGCGTGCAGAAAAAAAATCCTGAGGAAGCGTCCAGAGCGCGACACGTGGCGAATGGCTGAGAGCGCGCCAAGTGGCGCTGATCGTTGCGAGGCTCCCGAAGAAGCACTCGTTAACTAGTTGCTGCCTTAAGAAGGGCTAAGCAAAACATAACGGGCAATGCTAGGCGCCGGCGCACCGGCCGAACGCTTCGGCCGGTCCAAACCCTAGCCGTCAGATCGGCGTGTCCTGATCCGTTGGATCTTTATCCAAATCAGGTCGTCTTCTTCCTCTCGCGAGCGCGGACGAAATAAGGAACCTCGTCTCGCCGGCCGCACGCGTTTCCCCCCTCATCGCCACCTCCTCGCCTGCCCCCCACGTCTCTGATCGCCGCCCTCGCCGCCCATCTTCGCTGGCCGCCCTGGTCGCCGGTCCTAGCCCTCGGCGGTCGTCCTCGTCACCGGCTTCGCCCATGCAACAACCCACTCATGTGGTTGTAGCTTCCCCGTGGCAACTGTTGTAGCTCCGATGGCGACGACCGAAGCTCACCGGCATGCTCACCGGTATGCTCGCCGGCGCTCATCTCCCGCTTGCAACAAAAAAATCGAGCGCCCAGGGAGATGCCCAGTGCTGCAACCTACGACGAAAAAAGCTACAACCGGTGACAAAAAAGCTTCAACCAGCTATGGGAAAAGTTTCTAATCGTATGACAGAAACCTATGAACGACCAAAGAAAAGTTACAAGCGGTGACAAAAAAAACATCATCTGGCGACGAAAAAAGCTTCACCCGACAATGAAAAAAGCTTCAAGTGTGAAGCCATAAGCCATGGACGACAAACGGAAAAGCTACAACCGGCCGTTGCAAAAGCTACAACCGCATTGAAAGTGTCACACGGTCGTAGCAAAATGTCGTTACAATTGAAGCATTTCTGTTAGCGGTTGCAACTTTTCTAATTTGCATGGTGTCTAGTTGTAGTTTTCTCTCTCAATGGTTGGAGCTTTTTCCAACTACAGTTGAAGCTTTTCTATCAATGGTTGTAGCTATTTTCTTTTTAGCAGCGCTTGGGCAAGGCTTTTTATGTCGTTTCGTTGAAGGTTGTAGCATTTCATGTCAACGGTTGTAGCTTTCTGACGATGGCGCTGACAGCTTGTAGCTTTCTCAACATCCGGTTGAAGCTTTCCATCAAGGGGGATGAAGCTTTTTTTGTAAACGGTTGCAACATGAGGGGGTGCGACGGTTTTTGCAGAAGCCTCTGGTGTTGCCCATCGCCGCCCGGCTCGCCGGCGGCGAGGCAGAAGCACGAGGCGTGTGGGAGTTGCAACCGGCGGGAATGGAATTGGTCAACGGCCTTGCTACATCCAATGGCGAACGGGGTGAGATCTACATCCATGGCCGCGTGGGGATTCGATCTTCCATGACCGACGGCGAGCTCCTCAAGTGTTGCAGTGATGGAGGCAGGAGATGCAGGCGTCGGCGCTGTGTGCTGCAACAATGGGCACAGGAGACGAGGATGGGGCGAGATCCGCGAAGCTGCGAGACGGGGATGAGGCGAGATCCGCGAGATAACGCAGGAGGACTAGTCAACTTGGGTCCACCGCGCCACGTGGTTGCTCGCGAGTGGACCGCGCGTGCGCGCGTGGACTGGACCGGCCAAAACTTCCGCCGACACACCGTCTTCAAACATTTACCAAACATAACATGGGCCGTTTAAGCCTTGTTAACGCTTTCGGACTCTACCTTTCCGAAATAAGCCCACTATGCTCTCCACAAATACGTCCCGTAAGCGCGCAATGCTTCCTCACACTGTCACACACTCCCTCGCTCCTAAAATTCCAGTCACGAGTCACAAGCTCACTGGACACAAGCGCTGGTGTGGCGAGAGCACGAAGTAGAAGCATGGTTGCCCGCGCCACGGCAACGTTCCTCCCCGTCCTCTCCCTGCTCCTGCTCCGTGCCGGCGCGGACGACGACTCGGCGTTTGTGTACGCCGGGTGCTCGCAGGGGCGCTACGACGCCGGGACGCAGTACGAGTCGGGCGTGGACTCCGTGCTCACATCCCTCGCCAACAGCGCGCCCTACGCCCCCTACGCCAACATCACTTCCCCCTCGGCTTTACCCCCCGTGGCCGGCCTCTACCAGTGCCGGTCCGACCTCCCGGCCTCCGTCTGCACCGGATGCGTGCGCTCCGCCATCTCCAGGCTCTCCTCCCTCTGCTCCTGGTCCGCCGGCGGCGCCGTGCAGCTGCGCTCGTGCTTCGTGCGCTACGGGAACGACTCCTTCGTCGGGAAGCCGAACACGGCCGTGCTCTTCAAGAAGTGCGGCGGCTCGCCCGGGGACGCCGGCGGCGCCGCCATGAGGGACTCGGCTCTCGGAGGGCTCGCGTCCTCGGTGGCGCCCGCCGGGGGTGGCTACCGCGCCGGCGGAGCGGGGGGCGTGCAGGCCATGTCGCAGTGCGTGGGGGACCTCGACGCCAAGGCGTGCTCCGACTGCGTCTCGGCCGCGGCCGCGCAGCTCAAGGCAGGGTGCGGCTACGCCACCGCCGGCGAAGTGTACCTCGGCAAGTGCTACGCGCGCTTCTGGTCCAACGGTGGCGGCTTCGTCAGCGGCGCAAGCTCGGGAAGTGCATACGGATTTGTGCCGCGCATGCACGGTGAGCGGCTGGCTCTTGCTGTCGCTGGTTTCTTCGCTTCGTTGGCCTACTTTTCAGTTCTACTCGTCTAGTTACGGTCGCAGTATGGGGTTGAGATCAATGTTAGCTATGTTACATTATTGCCAACACCAACACGTATGTCGCGTATTGAACTGGACACAGTGTTGTTTTGCTCCAGTGTGTAGCAAAAATATCATGTTCTTATACCTGTAACTTGTAACTTAGCTGGGTTTCCAAAGTGTGTAACTATAAATCTGATCTGATGAAGTGTTGTTTTACTTGCTATATTTAGTCGTAGTTACAACTTTGAACTAGCATGTAGCCGTGTATATATCCATGCATGCTTATATGCGTCTCAATGGTTTATGGTAACTAAAACAGCCGCTTGAAAAACATTCAGAATTTCTGATAATCATAACGCGCATGATGTATATGTAGTAAGCATTCTAATTCTACAGTCCAAAGTGCAGTCAATAGTAATTTTGTGCGCACATAGAAAGAGTGCAAGGACTTCTTGAACCGACTCATCATGCTGCGCTCCCAAAGGCATGCATATGCATGTCACAGGCACACCAGAGTGTGGATAAAAAAGAGCTTTAATTTTGTCCTCCTTTACCTTTGCTTTTGATGTGGACTACCTTTATTAATTGGCGCCACTAAGCTGATCTCAAGTTTTAGCACAGTAGCATATCGCAAAGTGGATTCAAATGATTCAGCTTTTGCGCCACCAAAACTCGAAAGAATGGAGGGGATATCTCTGGTACCCAACTGTACAACGTCAGTGGGTCGCGTGGTTCTTGTCTTTGGTAAGCTTTTGGGGCTAGTTTTCTAACCCTTCTTTCACCGTTTACTAGGCAAGCAGACATGGTAAGTACTTTGGATTAAGTTAACACGATGGCTCGCTGCGACCGTTACACTGCCGGTGCCGGCATAGGAAATTAGGCTCTTTGCTGATTGTGCAAGCGAAACAGTGAAGGCTGGTGGTCGCAGGATGTGCACGAGTTTGCGCTATGATTGGCCCAACTTGCTCCAACGCTGCCTTTCTCTTTGGCCGTCCTTGTCCTCATCGATTGGTTAGCTCTCTTTATAGGCCAAAAGAATGAGCACCAGCAGCCACACCGCCGGCCCGACGCACTTGTGCAAGACCTTCTTCGGACCTAAGTTGAAGGTTTTGCAGATGCCCTCCGCCTTCACCAAGTACCTCGTCGCCGTCCGTGAGCAATTCAGCCTGAAGACGAACAACGGCTGCACCTGAAAGGTGATGAACAACATGCTCATCCTGGATAAGGGTTGGGCTGACTTCTGTGTAGCCTATGACATCAGGATCGGGAGCCTTCTCACCTTCAAGCTGGTGAGCCCCGCCAACTTGAGGGCCCTCCTCTTCAATGACTAGAGCATTTAGATTGTGGCAAATTGCTTGTAGCATCACAAAGCATTCGACATAGATGCTAAAGGTAATGATGAGGGTGATGCTACTGCTAACATTATTGCGGGTGCTGTTAAGGGTGGTGTCGTGGGTGATGTTGATGATGCTTAGGATGGGATCACAGCTATCTATGCTATGATAATTGAATTTGAAGATTTTGTTTTGTTATGATGTTATGTTTGAACTACTATGCTTATGGTTTTGGTTGTGCTTGTGATTTTGATTGTGCTTATTCTTATGTTATATGCTTACGCTTATGCTTATGGTCACGCTATATATGTTTCCACTACTAGGGAAAAGCCTGGCAATAGCTCGGGTCTAAGGGCTATCAGTAGTGCAGGGACCCGCGCTACTGATACGATGATACAACTAACTTTTAGCAATAGCGCGTTTTGACCCGTGCTAATGCTAACTTTACGTAGTAGTAGCGTTCTTTGTAAAACGCACTGATGCTAGCGCCTCTGTCAACAGCGCGTTGCTGCTAAATGCATACCCATGCTTCTGCTAACTTTTCCTGCATTTTTTTGTAGGATATTGGCGCTGTATTTGTACAACTTTTATACAGTAGTCTCATCACAGTAATCGCATCATATGATTTTATGATCATGATGAGTTATTATATACTAGTTATTTTATGATCATGACTAGTAGTATTTTTGATCTGCACCATGTTGCCTCAACTTAAATCTAATCCACGTCTCTTTCACCCACTAACTCAGCATCATCATCATAATAATAACTCATCATCGTTATCATAATAAGAAGTCATACTCATCATCATCATAGTCATCTAACAACGTCTATTCGTTATCATAATAACAAGTCATACTCATCATCATCATAGTCATAACCAACCCTAGTTAATTATTCTTAACACATGATCATGAGTATTGGTTAGGACCTACCTCTTTCTAAGGTAAAATAGCATAAAACAAGATAGCCCCTGACTCTTCATTATGGAGAATGGAGATTATCCTGTGTCCAATTAGTGCGCTTCGCACAATGTTGCTACCAAGTAGCTCCCTGTGATTCTTCATACATTTTTTCCATTCTTTGATTGTCATGTCTTCATTGGTTTGAGAAATCTTGTATGAACAGAGGTGAAGCTTAGGCGGACTTGGCCGTAAGCTAATAACATCAAGGCGACCTTCCGGAAACATCAGATGAGGCACACGATCCTTCGGGATTTTTTCTTGAAAAATATAATAATAACGTCATAGTTACTAATGTAGTTTAGCAATGTAGTTTAGCTTTAATTAGAAGAATGTATGCAAAAGATGCATTGTTGTCATCATAATAATAAAAATCTTACCATGCCATTTCCATGGATGTTGCCGTAGTTCAACACGTGGACTAGTGGCACGTATTGACCATAATGTGGAGGAGTTTCTAATTCTTATTGTAAGTCTCAACATCAATAATGAAGGAGACAAGATGATCTTTCACCTCGTAAGTTAGTTCTGAACCATCAGTGTAGTAGGTTTTGTCTACTATTTTTCGAACATTTTTTGAAGAATGGAAATAAGCTGTCAATGGAAATATATAAGTTGTCAACTATTATTATAAAAATAATATAAATTACTTAATAAATATGTTTGAGAAACTCACATAGAGGTAGAAGTGGAAGCGTACCAACAAGGACCCAAATGTCGATATTCTCTTCGTCGATATTATCTTCATCGACATTATCTTCGTTGATGTCATCTTCAGGATCACCAAGATCAAAGGTGACATGCATACCCTACTGAAAACCATACGCCTTGCACAGTGCTTCTCAATTCAAGCAACCAAAATGGGAGTAGCTCTCCGCATTGTATAGCTTTACGGCAAAAGCATAACCATGATGGGTCCTCAGGTGAACTATCTTTGTCTCCATATTCTCATGATCTTCGAAATTCAGCTTCTCCAGGACATAGTGTCTTGCATGGCATGGGATGCACTACTCGAATTATAAAAGGCGGAAATTACACGTTGAAGAAGCAGAAGTCATGCTTAATTATGAAAAAAGACTTATCGTCATTGCATACCGTTTCAACATCGAAGGTCTCGTCGAACTTAATACTGAAGCGCCGACCGTCTTGTAGGTGAGGCCTGCCGCATAGGCCCCGATCGTCGCCGCAGTAGTCGCACTCAGGGATCCTATCGTCGTTGTCAGACATTTCCTATGTTCATAATTCAAAGATTAAACTTCTAAAATTCAATATACATACTACAAAAACTAAATTAGATCATTATTATTCATGACGGGTTGACTATCCGTCTGTCGAGTCTTTTCTTGAAGACTCTCAGCTCATGTGGTGTATATATTCGACCGTCGGTGATGGTCGCTCCTCCCTTTGTCTCCGAGTGCATTACACCAAAATGTCTAGCACACGGGAACAAAGGAGAAGCGACCCCCACGACAACAGTCAGGATTCTTCCTCTCTGACATTTGCGACCGTCAGTGATGGTAGCTCCTCCTATCATTCCAAAGTGCATTACACCAAAATGTCTAGCACCTTGGAATGAATAAGAAGCTACCCCCATGACAACAGCCGGGATTGTTCTTCGTCTCTCATATATAGTGACACTCCCTCATTGATTTTTAACGGTCATGTATGGAGCCCCGACAGACTTAAAGTTAACTCAAAATGTCGTTTAATTATCTGTCTAGAAAATCCAGGCCACTCGATGTTTCCTACATATTCTAACACAAGTCATGCCAAAATTCACGGAAAAATCCGGCATGAACTTTGCTAAAATAGGACATATCGAATGCCTAAAATTTGCCGGAGCTTAAATGAATCAACTTTCCGGCAAAACATAGGCCACTAGGATGTGTTCCCTGCAAAATGCATCTATGCATCCATTTTGTCGACATTTTTCAAAAGCATTAATGAAACAAAAGTATTGAAGAAGAATATTAAAGCGGGAGTACTTGGTCGCACATGGGATGGACTTTAAGAAAATTAGTCCAGTGGAGGAGGCAATCGATGAACTCATGTGACAAGTTAGCAGCTTTCTATTGTCGCGGCTTCTTTACTCATCTACTACTACAACATCTATGAAAACATCTACATCATCATCGACATCAACGACATGGGGATTTGGTGGCTCTCACCTCAAGGTCGGAGGGGGTCGGTGACGGGGACGACGACAGGGATGATGGAGGGGCTACTTGATTTCTACAAAAAAATATAAACAAAAACATTATTATCCTGATTTTAGGACTTAGTGAAACCTTATAAGCTATCAACTAAACATTATTATGTTGATTCAAAAGACCTACATTTACTAAAAAAATGTAAAACTAGTTTTTTACTAAAAATTTGTATTACTAACCCTAACAGCTATCAGTCCATCCATCTATTATCCAAAGCATTACTAAAAAACCTAGTTTTATCCATTTGTCTACCCATCTATCTATCCAAGCATTAAAAAAACTAATTTCATCCACACATTTATCTATAAGCTTTCTACTAGTAGTGGGTTCATATATATGAACACCTAGAGTTATATATATATATGTGTACATACATACATTCTATTGTACTCAAAAAACATATTTAGTGCTCTAATGATGAAATGGGCTCATATATATGAACACCTAGGGTTCATATATATGAAAAAAATTAGTAAAAAAATTGAACATATTGCATTGCTAAATCATCCAACACATTCAGAGATACCTAGCTTTTGGGTGAATTGGGAGGAGAAGGGGTACTCACGGTAGGCAGCCCGGGGCCGAGAAGGGGATGGAGATGGCAGACACGGGGAAGGGCCCGCCCGTGGAGGAGGGCCGGCGCCGGAGGAGGGCGGCCGTGGGGGAGATAGACCGGGGCAGTGCGGGGGCGGGCCGACGAGGGTGGGAGAGAGAGTGGATATGGAGAGTGAGGAGGAAGACTGAGAGGTCAGGCGAGGGAAGGACGATGATAACATGGGCTTAGTAGTAGCGGGGGTTACGGCCTGACGCTACTGCTAATGTCATTAGCTGTAGCGCTGGTCCAGGACCCGCGCTAATGCTAAGTGGGGATGGGCTGCTGGGCCCGGGCTGGCCATAACAGTAGTGTGGTTCAGCACAACGTGCTACTGCTAAGCTACTACTTGTAGCGCTTGTCTCTAGAACGTACTACTGCTAAGTATCATTAGCGCCTCTTTTGAACAAGCGCTACTGATAAGCCTCTGTGTATAAGGTTTTCCCTAGTAGTGTTCTGTTGTGTGTGCGTGTATTGATAACCTCGCCAATCCTAGAAGAGGTTACTACCTCCCTTGTGTGTAACCAAACAACACCTCTTTCCATCTAGGTAGAACATGCAGACAATCAAACACAAGTTTTGATGTTGCTCCTCAGCCAAGCTAGAGGGGATGCACACAAACAAACAATATGCAGAACTTGGTTTTTGACCTGTACTCAGTCAACCAGGTTGAGTTGGGTCACAGATGTAAAGTGCCCAAAATCGATGCGAGTAACCAACCGCATCCTAGGACGAGCGGATTAAAACATTGATCGCACAATACCGGCACCAAGCCATACATCTATAATAACTAAATAGTTCATCCTCACTACCTTATTTCTCCTCACATGCAGCTCATCCACAACATCACACATGTCCCACATATGCCACCTCATAAAAAATTCAATAAAGCATGCCACACAATTTCTACTTAGTATGTGGTTATCTCTCAAATTGTTTGCTCTTCTATGTAGTGCCACTTTTATTTACTACGCAGAATGCAATCGCCATCGCACAAATTGTTTGCTCTTCCATGTAGAATCACTTTTGTTTACTACACAGTCACCCCTAGTTGTTTCTCTTCATCTTCCATACACATGAGGCAGTCAAAGCTCTTCTATCCCGTTTAAACAGACGAGGTAGTCACTGGGTCCAGATGCATCTAAGAGCATCTCTACTAGATCCTTTAAAACCTCACCAGCCCTTATAATACTGGTAGTTTAACAGGATTCGGTAAAATATCAGCTTGAGCAG